CTGCGGGCTCAGAGAGCCCAAGAAAATCTTCTTTTAATCCCTATGGGTTTCATATTCCATCGATGAAGTTCCAGAGCTGGCCTGAAAAGCAATTTTATGAAATCATTTACCAGAGGCGAGGGGGAGAACATTACAGTCATCCCTCTGAGGTTCTCCAGTAATAAGCACGCTCTATTCTCCTCGAGCCCAGAAGAGTCGCGTGGGCTTGATAAATAACTTGAGTTTGGCCCAACTGCAGCTCTAAACAGATGTCTGTAAATATTGTGGAAAAGAACCCTCAGAAAGTTGGTGGGTGTTCCTCATGAGTGGCTGTGGACGTTTTTGTTGCCAAACAGGCAACGGCTGTCTGTCTCCCCTTTGTGGATGACTAGCTTGCCATAGGAACGTGTGATTGCTTTGTTTTCCTAGTGACAATCTTAATCAATATGGCTTCTTTTAAAGCAGTGTTTCTCAACTAGTGGAGGTTTTGCCCCTCCTCCCATCCCACTCAGGAGCCGTTCAACCATGTCTAGTGGTATCTTTTATTGTCATGGCTGGCAGTGGGGGGCGCTACTGGTATCTAGTGGGTAGAGACCGGAGAGGCTGCTAAAAATCCTACAAAGCATAGGGCAGCCTCTACCCCCAGCAAAGGATGGCTTGGCCAAAATGCCAATTGGGCCCAAGTTGTCTTAAAGTAGTAACACCTTGTTTTAGTATGTCTTGTTCATTGACTCATTTATTCATTCATTCAATGCATAGTTATTGTAGAACCTACACAATACCCACGTAGTCCTGTTTCTGTGTATTGCTGGATTCATCAGTTCACTCATGAAATGCCTGTTTGTTGAGCATCGACTCTGTGCCAGGCACTGGGGTCTTGAACAGCACAGTCGGGGTCTTTCCTCCTCTGGGGTTTACTTTCTAGTGGAAGGGAGACAAGAGTCTCGACAAGCCAACAGATGAACAAGATCATTTCAACCAGTGATGAATACAATGGAGATTGTTGAACAGAGTAAAACGAACCCCCTAGGTGGGTGGCTGTGTAGGAAGCCCCTTTCAGGAGGGGCTTGGGGGAGGGCCTCTCTATGTAGGTCACGTGGAAGCTGAGCTACGAATGGGTGGAAGGAAGCGGCTCTGAAATCTGGAGGAGTGTTCAAAGTACCTCTGTTCCCAAAGGCTTAGGTAGTTTCAGGATCAGGGACACGCAGGCCACTGAAACTCAGATGGAGGAGGCGAGGTGGACAGCGAGAAGATGACGAGAGGGGCAGGAGTTATGACCAGACAAGGCTGTACAGTCCAGGAAAGAGTTCAGACTGCATATCAGGTGCAGTGGGAAGTCATGGCGGGATTTTAAGTGGGGTGGACACAGTCTGGGTTAGGGAGAGATAAGTCCACTTGGGCTGCTGGTGGAGAATGGGAGGTAGAAGGGAGGGGCCAGTCAGGAGCTCACTGCAGGAAGGAGGCCAGCTCGGGCCACAGAGCCCTGAGTGGAAAGGAGAGCAAGTAGGTGAATTTGGGAAGTATTTGGGATAAAGTCCCCGACTTGCCTGGATAGGATCCGTTACTCGGTCCACCGCAGCTGCCGCCTGAGCTTCCTATCTCTGGTCAGTGCGGGTCCTGAGAGCCTCCACTCTGCTTCCTTGGCCGAGCCTGTCCTGACTTAACTCCCACATACACGGGGCTCCTCTGTCCCCCACTGCCTTAAGTGAGCAGACCCTCCCTAATGAGAGCTGAGCTCAGCTTAGCTCCCCCCTCCCATTCCTAAGTCCGTCAAGAGCTTCCTTGAGTATCAGACTTCTGCAGCTGCAGCCTAGCCCCCAGCCTCACCGTTTTTGCTTCTTCCCTGGTAGATCATACCCTTAGAGTCCCAATGTGGCACCTCCTGACCATGACCCGTCAGCAGCCTCCCATGGGGCTTAGGCTACAATCCAGATTTCTATCTGGTCCCTGCTCACCAAGTCAGACTGTCCTTTTTTTTTTCTTTTCCTTAACCATTTTTGTAATTTAAATTCAATTTAATTAGCATACTATATTATTAGTTTCCGTAGTAGAATTCTGTGATTTATCAGTTTCATACAATACCCAGTGTTCATTACTTCAAGTGCCCTCCTTCATGTCCATAATCCCATTACCTCATCCCCCCATCTCTCTACCCCCCAAGCAACGCCCAGTTTGTTCCCTATAGTGAAGAGTCTCCTATGGTTTGCTTCCCTCTCTGTTTCCCTCGTACTTTATTTTTCCTTCCTTTCCTCTAGGCTCATGTGTTTTGTTTCTTAAATTTCACATATGAGTGAAATCATACGATATTTGCCTTTAACTTATTTCACTTAGCATAATACCATCTATTTCCATGCACGTCATTGCACATAGCAAGATTTCATTCTTTCTGATGGCTGAGTAATGTTCCTGTGCATGTGTGTGCATGTGTGTGTGTGTGTGTGTGTGTGTGTGTGTGTATAGATAGATAAATACACAGATATACACCACATCTTTTTTATCCATTCATCCGGGCTTTTTCTGTAGTTTAGCTACTGTGGACATTGCTTCTATAAACACTGGGGTGCAGGTACCCCTTCGAATCACTATGTATCCTTTGGATAAAGAGCATTCCCACATTTGCTCATACCAACCTGTGGAAAGGGGCCACATAACCGATCCCTCTAATCCTTGTCCTTTTACTTTTGAGGGTCTCTCTGCCTTGCAGGCACTTTCTTTATTAGCTTTCAGCCTCTTTCACGTCCCAGCTCCAATGACACCTAACCTTTCTTGTGTGAAGTCATTCTACAGAAAGCACTTTAGATGGGAGCGATACCAGCCTCACAGGGGTGAAAACTGGTTCTTGGAGGATGAAAAAAAATCTTTTAATCTGTAAAGCACAGATACACATGCAGGACATAACCAGAAGGATAGCCTGCTAGAGGAAAGGTAGGTAGCTGAATTGTTAACGAGAGAGATAGTATACCCATGGTATTAAAATATCATAGAGGGGATTCATCTGGAAGAGAAGTCTAAAAACTCTCCCTCAGGGGCAGGTAACAAGGAGAAAGTTGAAAACCACTGGTCTGTAGAAACTGTCTCTCCACTCCACTTACTTGCCAACATACACCCTAATTTAATTCCTTTCAGAAACTTAGGACAATTGGCAAATACCCTGCTGATTTCTGTTCACTGCCAGGAATCTTCTGCACCTCCCCAATCCCTCCAAATGTAAGCTCTGTGAAACCCATGTATCTTGGCTGTCGTCCACTGTGTCTCGAGCATCTGCACATAGTAATCATCCAGTATCTACTGTGACCAAGCAATGATTTCAATTATGAGAATAAGGACCCAATGGGTGAACTGGACCCCTCCTGGATTTCAACTCTCACTTAAATGCTTCCCTTTTGAACACTGAGTTTAAGCCTTCTTCCTTGTCCCACAGTCGTTCATCTCCTAGCCCTTGTCTTGACTACCCCCAGTTTTCTCTCCTCTCTGATCACTGAGAACCAGCAACCATGCAGTCAGCCCTTCTTTATGCCACCAAGACACCACAGTGAATACCACAGGGATGTCTGACTCGGTGAATTAAAAACATTTCCACGAAAAGTATAACAGCAGGCCAACCATCTTGGAAATTACACAGCAGAAAGAATGCATGATTATCTGATTTAACAAGAAACTGAATCATAGTGACCATCTGCAAAAGAAAAAAAGACTGGAAGGACACAAGCCAAAATGTTGGCAGTGTTATCTCTGGAATGTGCACTTGCAGTTCATTTTCTCCTTACGCTTCTGTTCTTAATTTAGGACTTTCCTACAATAAGCCTGTATTTCCTTCAGCAGAAGACACCAGGGTTTTGGTGGCTGGTTTTTAAAAAAACCATTCATGATACTGCAGTATGAGCGGCAAATACAGGTGTACCTCTGGTCCACTCACCCAAGGCCAGTTCTACTTGATTACATGGGGACCCCCACAAAGCTTTTTCTAGGGCAATTTCTGTGTTTAGGGGAGCCATGGGATTTTGGCCAACGCAGTTCATTAGGCAAACAGTACCAGCTTTATTGCAGGACAGTACCTGCTATCTGTTCCACAGAACATTATGTTCGTTAGCTTTCCCAAGGATGTCTGTGACTCCCCAAAGCACAAAAGATTTCTTGCATTGTGAGGCACTCACCCATGCAAAATACAAAAACCAAACAGACGCAGAACACATTCCCACATATTTTAAGGTATTTCTCAGGGAGTTTCATGGCTCCCTGAAGCCAACAGCCCGACCGAGGAAGATTACTCAGTGAAATGTCTCTTTAAATCTGGGCTTTACCTCTTTATTTTCTCCACACACGTAGCTACCAAGACTGGCTACCCAAATGTCCGGAACTTCCTTGACCCTGGAGGCTCTTCTAGACCTCGCCTCCTCCTAGCACGTCCCATCTGCCCCAATGCAGCTAGTTCATGCTTCAGTGTCCTAAAACGTTATATGACAGAGTCTTGATCTTTTTCATGATCAAGGCACACTTCCAATCTGAGAACTTTTGGCAGATTCATTAACAAACACACTCCGTTCATTACTAGACCCAGTAATTCATGCATAATTACAGTGCCCACTGGGACAGCTAACAGCATCTCATCTCACAGGGTGTCCCAGCCCCTGAGTCTAGCACACAAAACATTTGGGCTCTGAGCCACTGTCTGCCCCCACCTTGATGTCATCCACCCACAAGGGGATGATACAAACGATGCTGCAGCCATAGTCATGCCGCCTGAGAAGCCGGGAGTTCGTCCATACCCATGAAAACTTGGTGGCCTATCTGAGAACAGCTCATAGTACAAGTGGTACGTTGAGGCGCATGATTTGAGACTCACTAGGGAACTTAGAGAATTTCTTACCTCCGAAGCCCAATGCTATAGGACAATGAGTCTTAGGACCCTCATTTAAAGCAAACAAACCTGGAGAATAATCTTTGAATAAAAGACTGTGTATCTGCCCAAATCTCCCTGGGCTCAGCAGAGATTATTTGCCGGGGGACAACGTCATTCTTACCTCCTCCAGGGCCCAAAGGGAGTCTACCACGGGCTTGATCTTCTTCTGGTTGTAGAGCCCAATGAGTTTGTCCACCACTCCTCGAATGAGGCCCGCGCGGCCCTGTTTGAAGAGCAGGTTCAAAAGGGAAAACCCCGCGATGACTTTGTTCTCTTCGTAGAGCTTGATGGGGTTCACCTTCTCGACCTGCCACCACTGGAGGAGAGAAGGTGCCCATTACAGGGAGCCAACGGCAGCCACGTTCACAGTATTGGCAGGCGGAGAACAGGGCTGCAGCAGGGTGGGTTCCAGGGGGCCCGGTGGGGTGGGGGTTGGGGGGTCCTTGTTGGGGTATTTTTTTCAAGCGGCCATGCAGACAGACAGCGCTGCAAGTGCAGAGTGAGGCTTCTGTGCCAAGCATGAGGTCTGGGCGGGAGAGAGAGACAAACATCCCGAGAATAGCTATCAGGCCACATGTCATTGGAACCCTGAGGCCCAGGGTTAGGACTGCCCGCTCTGGAGATGAATCCTGGTACTACTTGTGCTCCCTGTTCCTCTCTGTGCTTCATAGCTTCCAGCTACAGACCATGCTAGAGTGCTTCCTCCCAGGCTTCTGGAAGAGTTTAGCTTATGAACAGTAGGGAAGGAGCAGGGTGGCAGGGAAGTCTACCAAGTGTGGTGGGGACTCGGTGGGATGGTGACCCAGCCACAAGAGCAGCTTTCTTAGGTGGAATGATGGTGCAGCTGGAGAGGTGGGTAGGAATCCAGCAGAAGAAGAGTGAGGGAACGTGATACAGGCAGAAGGCACAGCACAGTGGAGCATGGAGCCATAGTGTTGGGACAAAGCCAGCAGTTCTTATCTGAAGGACAGTTGGCAAAGTCTGGGAGTGTTTTTGCTGTGGTGACTGGAAGGGAGAGGAATCTACTGGCGTCCAGTGGGTAGAAGCCAGGGATGCTGGTAAACATCCCACAGTACATAGGACAGCCCCTCATGACAAAGAGTTATCCAGACCCAAAGCGCCAATAGCGCTAACGTCCGTGACAGGATACGCATAGGTGGCAAGTGTGGCTCTCTCCCTTCTAGCCTCTCATCCCCCACTTCTGACATGAAAGTAAGTGAATAATCCAGAAACGGTTATCCAGCTGCTTTGTTCTGATTTAACTGCATCTCCTTTGGTGCTGGTTAGAATTTAGAATGCCAACTTCCAGTTTCTAAAGGCTCTAGGAGAAGTGGTGAATCGTTTAAACCAGAAAGCAGATTGGAATGTGGTGGGCACATAGGAACATTCACAATGTTTACATTATTGGGGTGTTTATTTACATCCTGCCTCTTTCCTGAATTGTGGGAGCTCACAAAAGCTCGCCAAAGATTTTGATATGTACTTTTTGAAATGGGAAAATCATACTATTAGGAAAATAAGTGTGCGAAAGACAAGTCAAAAGCAGGAATAAGGTTCGTATACGAAATTCTTTACTAATGTACATCCCCTGAAGGCCTGGGGGCCAGCTCTAGGAGAGACATGTATTTGGCCATGGGCTGGCTTCCCACAAAAACAAAGCAGAGAAATGATTAATGACTCGTTTCATGGTGCATCTGCATTGTCTCAGGGACTGTCCGTGAAATGAATGCTTGTAAAATCTGCAATTCCTGCAGCTATGCTTAAGTTCCAGAGCCAGACACCTAGTTTTGAATCCCAGTTCTGCCGCTTACTAGCTCGGCAACTTACCTAACCTCTCTGTGCTAAGTTTCCCTACTGCACCTCACAGGGTCATCATGAGGAATAAGGTGTTAATATATAGAAAGTTCTTAAAACGGTGTGTGACCTGGAGTAGGTTTTCTATAAATATAAAATATTTGTTATCTTTGATTTAGTGAGTAGGAGCTCTGAATTTGGTGTCAGATTGCTCTCTAGGGGTTAGCCACTGTTAATCATTGCTATTGTCAAAAAGCAAATGGTGTATTGGACAGAGTGAGTACAAGCTCCATAAGAGTTTTAAGGTGGAACATAATTAGGATATCCGAGTGAGAAATTCTTGTATAGTTCCAAGTATGGCCTTATTTTTGGGGCCTTTCTCCAATACCATAAAAGAAAATTCCTTTCTAGAATCTTCTAGAACAAAGTTATCATTCCATTCCTCGGCATGCCCTATCTTCATCTTACTTCTCACTGACCGACTAATATTGGACCAGGCCTCCAAAAGGAAATAGTCTTCGTTCTTGCCCTCCAGCTATACAGCACTCTTGTAATCAGCTCCCCTGCTTTAGGCAGGAGAATCTCAACCTCCATCCTGGCCGTGTTTTCATGCGTGCCTTCACTGAACCTGGGCACACTGCAATTATTTCATTAACACTGTGTGTTCTGATTATGCGTTTAAGGGAGAAAGGGAAAACACTTCTTACAATTGCATGTAATTTGGGATCACTTTGGTTCCCCACAGCAGGCTGTCAGCATCACGTTAATTACAGCTACAGCAACAAAACAGCTGCGAGTGGCACAAAGCCTATCTTCAGGGGACTTGCTCCAGACAGAATCCTTCCTCACACTCCGTTCTTGCTCCCTTACAGATTCTGTCATTGCAGCGATCCTTGACCTGAACACTGAAGTTCAAAGGCAAAGGCAGACCCTTTAATTCTAATGTCACAGGGCAGGGAGTACGAATCATTCCAGAATCACTGGTGTTGGGGGTGAAGCCTTGTGCAGCCAATGTTGGCACTTAGGGGGCACATGAATACCCCGTACTGCCACACTTAGAATGATTTCTGTGGCTTTCTCTGGGCACCCTATTCAAAATGCCTCCACCCAATCCTGCATCCTGTTTTGAATCCCTGTCTGAGTTCTTATGACCATTTACAATAATCATCTTATTAATATGTTTCACCTATTTCCGTTTGTCTCCCTCATTAGAATGTGAGAGTCACAAGGGGCTGATATGTGCCCATGTCACTCACTGCAATGCCCTGGTGTCTTGCACACATGGCAGGTGCTCAGAAGATACTCATGAAGTGAGTGAATCAATCAGTGACACACTGGCTGCTTAGGAGGCTTGAGGAGAGGAGACGAGACAAGACGAAAGCAAGCCCTCCTGAGAAGCAGCAGTTCCCTGTTGGGGGGGCAGGGGTAAAAACTGAAGTTCCAGCCCTAATTAGCTTAGTTCTAGCAAGTATTGCTCGAATGTGGGAATACAAATCCAAGTAGGTTGGAATGCCCAGGGATGTGGTTTCTCAATCTCAAAGTAACCGCTACGCTCAGAGCATGATTATTTAAGCTAGTGGTTCTCAGATTTGCCTGTGTCTAAAATCACCCTGGGGGCTTGCTAAAATTACAGGATCCCATTTGTGTCTCCAATTCAGTAGAATGGAGATACAGAGAAATCTTAAGTACCCCCCAGAGACCTGGGCAGAAACCAGTAAAATGTATTAATGCCAAGTTTATTTTTGACCAATGATTAAAAACACAGAAACTTAAGCAATCTCTGCTGAAATCAAAACAAAGCTTTTCTGAGTTTCTCAGATGCTCCCACCTCTCTGCTTCATTTAGACGAAGCAGCCAAAGTAAACACACAGTCTTACTTATGTGTAGTGAGCAGGGTGGGAACATAGGCTTTCCTGAAAATGAATGATGCGGATGAAGGACAAACAAGGTCTAGGTTATTAGGTCAATGCCTTTAGACACTGAAGAATATAAGTTGCACAGAGGAGCTCACGACGTGCAAATCACCATACAACCATAGTACATTTGACACATATGGATACTCACTGACTTTGCAAAGCTAAAGAAGCTCTTGGTCTCTCCAGTCACCATGTTGGATGAACCTGCAAATGAAGGATTCCCAAATCAAGCTATTGCTAGTGAAAAGCAACATCTCTTGCTACACATGGAAGAATTGACAGTTGTTTGGTCCAGAACTGTCAAGAGCTTGAAAACAACTTTAATTCAGCCTTGGAAAAATGAGGGAAATGGAGGGAGTAGGTGGCATCAAGTTGACCTGATTTTGGCCAGCTGTCACTGGATCAAAGAGAAAGTGGTATTTCTTGAGGTGACCATCCGATTACTTTGGAAAATTGGGCATGTATCAAAAACATGATTTAGGCCCACATCCTAAAAAAATGAAAAGTTGTTCAAAATGTCTTTTTGGTTCCATTCTTCAAGACTGGGAAATGGAGTCCTATGTGAGCCTAACTCATGGTTTGAATTTGATTCCTTAACAAGTGAAAGGCTTGGGGCTCTGGGCTGGTCTGGGCACTTAAGTAGCAGGGAGAGATGGGACTGAGCTTGAATTTAGATGGATGGGAAAATGGGGTACAGAAGAGCAGGTGAGAGTGAATATAGGTTCAGAAGCCAAGGAAATGGTGTGATCAACATACTAGCTCCAAAGAAATCTGAGCAGAGAGGATGAAACCACTTGAGACAAATGGTGTGAGAAACTGAGCTTAGCTAAAGGGAACAAACAATATTCAGAGGGAAGATGGGAGATGGTGTTAGGAAGATTTCCTAAGGTGCTCTTACAGAGAGAAAAGACCACTTTGTGTGGTTTTTGGGGATGCAGAGGGGATGAAAGCTCTTAGTAGATCAGATGCCATATTGGTGCTTTTTCAACAACTTTCTTCCCTTGTCTCCAAAGGCTGGGAATAAGTCCTTCTCAGAGAACCATTATTTAATGAAAAAGCAGTGTATAATTGAAACTTCATTATTTGGTCTCAGTAGACTAGTAACCAGTCAGTTAATCACTGATCTGCTTTTATGGGGTGACTACCACCAAGCATCATGGTACCAGGCTTTGGTTACTTAGTAATCAATGTAATCAGTTAGATCCTTGTGAGATGGTAAAATTGTATTCTGCCAAGTGACGTCATAGAACTGGGGCAAAATTAGAACTGGTGAATAAGTAAGAAAGAATAAATTGTCCATCAACATTTGACACACACCTTAGTTATATCCAATATCCCCATATTGTGCATTGACTCTCATAGCTTCTATTATCAATAATAGTAATAATTGAAGAATTATGCATCCACTTGCAAAGACTTTCAGCTATGTGGCCACTATTGAAAATACCAGAACGCTCCAGCAATGGGAAGCTTATTCCCTCTTTTTCTGTCATAATCATGACAAAAAGATGCTTAAATATTTATACCTCTCAAATATCTCTTTTAATGACTTTCAATGACTAGCAGGGAAACGAGTATTTTTTCCTGAGTAATAAAGAGCTAAGGCTCAATTTTCTATTGGACCTATGGAGGGCAGAAGTGCCAGAAATCTCAAACACAGGATAACCCCAGTATCCTTTGGCTTTGGAATATGGTATCTGGCTTCAGAAAGGCTTTTATTTGACTTTGTAGAGACTAATGTTTAAATTAGTTTACAATCATTTAACAGAGGAGAGGGAGAAGAGAAGGAGGAAGTTCTGGGGATCTCATTCTGCCGGAGGAAAATCTCCTAGATATCAATCATAAGTCCCCTCAACCTCAAGAGCATCTCAGGGGCTACAGAAGCAGAGGTGTGTCCCAATCATTCAGGGTGTCTTTGTGATCAGGACATACAGGAGTGGTTTAGAATAGGAAGGAGTCGTCCTTTGCAACTTTATCTCCGAAAGGGAAGACTCTTCCTTAAAACCCCCGTATCCTAGCCACCCTTCCCATTCTACTGTGGGTCCTTCATTCCTTCATTTTAAGAATTTCCTTTGAAGCCATTAGTATTTCCCACCTGTGCCACCTTCTGTGGATCAATGAATACACTTGCTTGGCCTGCCTTTACAAACCCTTTTGGAATGAGAAATATTCATGGGGGTAGTAGGGCAATAGGCACACATGTTACTTTTATAATTGAAAATAACTAGTGGCAATAGCAGTATTATGTAAAACATTTAAAACTGAAGCCCTCCCGGAGCACCTGGGTGGCTCATTCTGTTAAGCATCCAACTCTTCGTTTTGGCTCAGATCATGATCTCATGGCTTGTGAGATCCAGCCCCGAGATGGGCTCTACTCTCAACGGGGAGTCTGCCTGAGGATTCTCTCCCTCTTCCCCTAACCCCCCAAATAGATAAATCTTTAAAAAAATTAAGCCCTCCCAATCTCATTACCCTATCACATCAACACATTTCATTCATCAGAGCTTTTGTAAGCATGCGTGCCATGCTCCCTGTTGCAGACCATGTCCCCTCTTCTCTTCAGCACTTACCATATAAAATATAGGTTCCCAGTGGTTTGAGAAGGCTGAGACCTTTTCCAGTGTTATCCCCACAGAGGCAATCCAAAACAATGTCCACTCCTTCAGCAGAGATTCTAAATGGTGTGAAGACAAAGTAAGATACTGTCAACTGTAAGGGACCAAACTTCTGATGGCTCCTCCTTTCTGTGTCATGTTGTTTACTCCTAGAATCAGCAAAAACAAGAGCTCTGAGAGTAGCTATAAATAGGCCAGGAAGCCTGGAGGCCAGGAGGCCTAATTTTACCTTCCTGGGTCCCACTCAAGAACTTCACAGAGCTGGAGGTAGCTAAAAGTCTGGCTGGTGGCTTATATCAGGAGCCAGCCTGAGTTAGGAAAGTGAGCATGGAGATCATGCTCATTGAATTCATACATTTGAATTTGTGCCTAGCCACCTCAAGTATGGAGCTTGGGTTGTGGTCTAGGCTCTGTCCAAGGTGCTGGAAACAGAGAAGGGGAACAAAACCAACATGTTGTCTTCATGGGGTTTCCAGTCTAGCAGGGACTAGCTTTTCTCCCCTTCTCCCTCTCTCCTCAGTGAATCATATTAATTTAACTCACAAACTTGTATTCATTCAATCTCAAGGTTCAATCTAAAATGGAATCATTGAGGAAGAGAGTTAAATAGACAGGTTCTTAAGGTGCCTGGTTGGTTCAGTTGGTTAAGTAGCTGACTCTTGATTTTGGTTCAGGTCATGATGTCAGGGTCCTGAGGTCAAGTCCTACATTGGGCTCCATGCTCAGCAGGAAGTTTGCTTGAAAATCCTCTCTCTCCCTCTCTCTTTGCCCCTCCTCCCACCCTCTTTCTCTTTCTCTCTCTCTCAAATAAATAAATCTTGGAAAAAATAAAAAAGTAGAGAGGGTCTTCCTATAGCAGTAGAAGGTTCCAGAGTAGAGAGAATCCATATTTATACTGTATTAAGCAGACAAAACATTTTTTGATCCCTTCCTCCATTAATTTATTTGTACATTCACCAATTCACTCACTTATTCATGCATTTAACAAACATCTACTGGGCTTCCACTGTTAGAAGATATAATGTGGGAAGGAGCTGTAAACAGGAAGGCTCTGGGGATTGTAGGGAAGCTATTCATGCCCCCAGGGCTCCCAGTTATGGCTAGGCCTTGATCTGCTCAGACAAGAATGGCATCTCTTCAGATTCGTGAGTTTGCAGGATTATCTTGTCTTAGCACACAGCTCAGTATTTCTACCTCCACCCTCATCCCCAAACTGAGTTCATAGTTCATGTCAACAGCTAGATCCTGTTTTCATAAGTAGAAAATTGCATGTGTATCTCTAGGGTTCAGATACTAAGTCAACTGCCCCATGCCCCAGGACAGCCGAGTTGTGACTTTCAAAAGCTGAGTCATGATGTTTGAAAGCCCTCAAGTCAAGTCCAAACTCTAGTCATTACAAAGATGCATCAAAAATTATCAGCTTAGCTTTTGCCTAATAGAATGCTTATTTATAAAGGTATATCTGTTCAAGTCCAACCTATAAATTCAGAACCAGGGAATTAGGCCAGTGGATCTAAAACTTAAGCATCAGAATCTCCCTGGTGGGGGAAGCTCATTAGAACAGGTAGTTTGCCCTCCTTCCCCCTCTTCTTGTAGCTTCTGATTAAGTTGGTTTGGGGTAGGCCCCAAAGATGTGCATTTCTAACAGGTTCTCAGGAGATATTGATGCTGCTGATTCTGGCTCCACACTTTGGTCTAAGCCAGCTACTCAGGAGCCAAACTGGCATTATTTTTTTTTTATTAACAATTAATTGGTTCATTCAATATTTGGGCCTGGCACTGCACTAGGCACTCAAGGTATAGTGGTGAGCCCAAACAGATTTGACTTCTCCCCTTTTAGAATTCCTGTTCGGTAGATATTCACCTATAATTACACACAAAAAAAAGTAAATTGAAATTGAATGGCATCTAGTGCCATGAGACCATGTCAATCTGGAGTTTGCCCAATCGGGTCTTCCAGAGAAGGCATCCCTGGGAAAATGCAGAGTGAAGTTATCTAAGTAAAGAGTGGCCAGAATAATGTTCCAGTTTGGGGAACAGCATATGCAAAGGTCCTGTGGTGGGAGGAAGCCAGTGAGCAGGAAGACTAGGAAGCATCCAGTTTGGCTGGAGTAAAGAAAATGTAAAAAGATGAGGCCTCAGAGTCAGGTGGGAATTGGAACACAGACTCTGTTGGTGGGCTCTAGATTGGTGCCTCACACCTGGTGATCAGGCCTTCACACCTTGCATCATGGGCTGGGTAGGTATGTTACTGTCTTCCTCACTCCTACCAAGTGTGTTCACTCCTGTGGAAGTAGGGCCCTGCCCTGCTTCTACTACCAGCCCTCCTGGGCCACCTTCTTACCCGCGAATGCCATTTCCCCAGGACCTCTTTCCTTTGCTGTAAGATGCCCACCTGTGTTCAGGAGCAGCCTCCCAAATGCTGGGCTGTGCACACCTTTTGGGGTACCCCTGAAGGACCTGCCCAGCCCCAAGTGCTCATTTCCTGCCTGATGTTCCTCACATTTATATTCTGTGAGTGTACATTTTCTCCCACAGTCTGCCAGTTAATTAGCTGCCCCTTCTAGACCTGTTGCTCTGTCCTCTGGTTCTGCAGAAATGCAGGGCAGCCCACATTAAGCTACTGCCCACTTCCTCGTCCTCACTTGCCGCTAACTGCTCACGGCATTCTGACCTTGTAGTGATTCCTAAAACATTCCTGCCTCAGGGCCTCTGCATATGCTATAATCTCTGCCAGAACAGCCTTTCCCCAGTCTCCTTAGAGCTGGTTCCTTACTAATCATCCCACCTAGAGTGGGAGCCCCAGATTATCTCTAGCTCCCTTTGTGCTTTAACATCTGTACTAAAGACACTTTTCAGTTTGTCATGGGCTGTAATTATTCTAGTTTATTTGTCTCTTCCACCAAAATGTACGCCCCATGAGACAGGGACCATGTTTGTGCTGTTTTATCCTCAGTCCTCCTTATCCTGCAGGACACAGTGTTAGTTCTCAACAAATATTGATTGACTATATGAATAGATGATTAAATAAATGATGAATGAATGAATGCAGGACAACGAAGAGAACATTTTGAGTGGTATTTCCACATTTTTATATGTGTGCCTCCTTCAAAGGAAACTCACATTTTCTGAGCTCTGCTGTATGCCGGGCATTTCAGAATTAATCTTCATGACAAGTCTGGGACAGGCATTTTAACTCCACTTGTTTGAGGAGGAAATGGAGGTTCTCAGATGCAGCACCTTGCCCAAGCTTATGTAACTGGTACACCCTGCGTTCAAACCTCGGTCCAGTTTCACTCCCGAGCAACGGCCTTGCCACCTTTCTGAATATAAGATTTAATAAACATTCCAATCAATCTAACTATGGAAGCATTGTTTTAGCAAGCAGCTCTGGGAAGCAGTCAATTTAATTTATTCTTTGAAGAATTCTGGTTTAAATGTCTTTAAAAATAAGTATAGGTATATTTAGAGTTAGACCACGTTACTCCAAACAGGCCAGGAAGCTTCTATTTTCAAGCTGCTTTTTTCAGTCCTAGCTTATAGGAGAGGCCCAAGGTCAGGGTCCTACACATCTGTCCTAAGTTTTCCACCACTGGACTACCACTCACTAGTGCTTACTTCATGCTGGACAGTGTGTGTGCGGAGCTGGGTGGGGACACAGATGGGGGCTCAGGTTCCTCCCTGCCATGAGGGAGCTCATGGATACTAGGGAAGACAGACCAAATGGACAGCCCAGGCAGTCACCACAGCTCCAGTGGAGCCACTTGGGACAACGGAAGAAGATCTTTCTGTTGGGAGATGAACAAGAATTGACTGGGTGTTGAAGGAAGGGCATTGTGCAGAAAACGTTGTGACACGTCGACCCAGGACAAGCAGCACCAAATAGGCCCAAGGAAGAGGCTTTGGGGCATCAACCATGATAATGAGAGACTCTGTGTGCACACTGTCTCCTTCCAGAAGGACCTAAGTATGTCTGCCACAATGGACAAGTAACATGGAGTTGGCAGGCATGGGGTTGGCATAAGGGCAGCATAGCTCTGGGCTTAGGAATATGAATTTCATCTCAGTATTAAGCATCCTGTTGCCACCTACATGCTGTGTGACCTCAGGTGAGTTACTTAGCCTCTTAGTGTCTTGGTGTCCCCATCTGTAGAAGGGAATGATGGTGATAACCCCTGCCCCAGGCTTCTCTGTGAAGCTTGGATGGACTGAAGCACATGGAACATAGGGCCTGGCTCATGGTAACTTCCGGGTCCATGGTAGTTTTTTAATTATTTTTTTCAGGGTGGGCCAACTTAAAGAGAATTCTTTTAGTCAGGGAAAAGAGTATAAAGGAAAGACGGCAAAACCTCAACAACCCAACCATGAACCCAAGTAAATGTCAGTGTGGGTGGAACCACCAACCCAGAAACCATTAGAGCAGACGCTTGATCCCCTTGACCATCCTAGGAGAGCATGTCCCACTGTCAAGAGCGCTTACCACGTGCCAGGCACAGTGCTGAGCACTTCCTAAGTTGTGTCTCATTGAGGACGTCCCAACCCCATAACTTAGGGACCATCATTATCCCCGCTTAATGGTTAAGGAAGCTTAGGCTCCATGGGGTCAGGCAGCATACCCTAGGGCCCACCATAGGGAATGAGGAGACTTGCTCCATCACATCTAGAAACGAAGTGAGGGCCCCAGCAGCAAGGCAGGGGTTCATAGGTGGGCGGTGGCCAGCCCTGGTGACCACCTCTGCCACCATGAGTCACACAGGCTCCCATCAGGGGCTGACCAAAGCTGGGAGCTGCACCCTGGGCTTCTTGCTGGAGGGAGATGCTGCAGATCTGTGTTCCTCTCTCCCCACACCTTTCTTGGCGTTGTGAGAGCTGAATCAGGTAACTCTGGTTTTGCACATACACAGGGGTCACATAAGCCACAAATCCCTGCCCCTGTGCTGTCCCTGTGTCCTTTGGAAGGTCAGTGGTGGGGTGGGGGTGGAGGGTGAGAGCAAGATGTATACCGAGGAGAGGGAGATGTCCTTCCCCAGGCCCTGAGGCTGAGGATGCTTTGGTTGTTTCTGTCAAATCTTTAAGCAGTTGTTGCTCCTTATAAGGCTAGGTAATTTCCTTCAGGTGAGTTGGAAAATTTAAAAGATACTCCCTCCCGGATTCAGTCATCAGAAGTCCAGCCAGTGGGTCAGACAGAATGGGACTCAGTTGGGTCTGTCCCGCAAGTAGCCTTGGAGCAGCGCTTCCCTTACTCGCGCTCACAGAGAAGCACCTCAGCAGCTCCTTTTAATGCACAGTCATGGACATCACAAGCAGAGCTACCTAAGCCCTTGGAAGCTCAGGGGCCATCCTCATTTCTTAGCAACCCCCGTCTCTGGCGGTGTCTGCCTCGCCTGCATGTGTGTAATCATAATTGCACAAAAAGCAGACAGGGTGAGGGCTTTAGGGCTTTGCTCCCATAAATCTCTGCAGATTCAAAAAGCAAACGCAAAGAGCCCCAGCTCAGGGATTCTCTGGGCCAAATGCATCAGCAAAATACTTTGGAATTGCCATTCGAGGTCTTCCTGCCTGTCCTTCCTCCGTCCACAACCCCTTGCGCCTTAGCTGCGAATGCCATCTCTTTGCTTCCCACCCACACAGATCAGTGGCGGAATTCTACCCGAGCAGTGGTAGGTCCAACAGAGCCATGACTGGGAGAGAAGCCCTTGACTTTGCCAAGAAATGTATCCCCCTTTATTGTAACTTTCACCCCAGGCGGATCCTTGGTTCTCCGCTCAGTGCTTCTCTTTCTGAATTCCTTTTTCTTTGAGAACTCATCTGTGCCATAGCTTTAGCCATCACCTCCGAGCTCATGATGGAGGGATTAGGGCCTTCCAGGGTGCCCAGCACAGTGTCCGGGGCACAGAAGGCTGAGTACAGTTCTTGGCATATAGTAGTCTTCCCCCAGAGGGCTGAGCACAGTACCCAGTGCACAAGAGGCTTTTCACAGGGTACTGAGCACAGTGCCTCGTGCATAGTAGGCTTCCTAGTAAATGTGTACAAATACTTAGCCATACCACCTCTAGGAACCCATTCTTTTTTTTTTTTTTTTAAGATTTTGTTTATTTATTTGACAGAGAGTGCACAAGCGGGGGAGCAGGAGAGGAACTGAACAGGGAGCCCAATGCGAGGCTCAGTTCCAGGACCCTGGGATCATGACCTGAGCCAAAGGCTGACGCTTAAGCATCTGAGCCACCCAGGCACCCCTAGGAATCCATTCTTGATCACATTCTCTGCTCTCTCTAGGTGATTAGACTCTCCATGATTTCCACCATCTCAGTTTCTTTGCCTGCGAAATGAGGAGCTTTCCCCTTGCAGGATTGTCTGAGGAGCACACACAGTGGTGCAGTCATACGGGTCAGCAGAGGGAGCGGACGCCAGCAGAGCCTTGCTTGCACCCGCTCCCCTTGCTGGCATTCGGTCCCTGCCTCCCACAACCTACTGAGATGTTTCCCATCCTCAGATTCCCTGCTGGGGGCTGCCCACTTTGGTGCGCCTTCTCTCTCTCTCTCTCTGTCTTTCTCTCCTCTTAACTTTTGAAGTCCTTACAGTGAGATGCACATGGTCAAAGCTTCTAATTCTTCCACTTGGTTTCGAGCATAGACAGACAAGGGGCAAGGGACGTAAAGGTAAGGTCTCTATTACAACTGGGCCCCCTGTGCCCATTCAACCAGGCTGAAGGCTGAGATCGTGTTCAAAAGAAGCTTACCAAATGACTGGATGACAAAATCTGCATCTTGAGAAATTTGATGTTATTATTCTCCCCCTCTGTATCAACACAGAGCACAGAACACTGTAGCAGACAAGATCCGTGCTCAGAAACCAAAGAGAAATCACTCTCCATTGCACTCTTGTTGCATATTAGTGGTTAGGGTTTTTTTTCCCCCTCTCTTTTCATTTTTTGTCTTCATGCGCCAAGAATTTATACAAAGCTGTGATCACAGTGTAGCTGGAATTTGGCATTCTGCTTTTTTTCCACTCCATGTGCTACCATGGGTATTTTTTCATTTTGTGACAGAATCTTCATAATTATCTTTTTTTAGGGGCTCCATAATACTCAAGTGTGTGGGTGTAGCATAACGCACCAAACCGTTTCCGAGCTGTCGCTAATGGAGGCCGGTTCTGAAATCTCAGCCTCACAGAGAGTGCTGTAACTCTCCCTGTTGGTCTGTGTCAAGCACCGGCCCTGAGGCAGAAGCGACGCTGGGCTCGGCGACAGGCACCAAGTACCTCTTGCTTGTATCTTCTTCTGGATTCTTTCCTGAGGGTAGGGTCGGTGGGACGGAGGGCATGAACCCATCTGCGACTTCCTAGTCATTTTTACTGGAATCCTAGGGTCTCTGCTTAAACACACAAGCAATCAGGAGAAGTCACATTTGAAAGAAGCTGGTGGTGAGGCAGGTCTCAGATGCTGTCACTTTCTGCTGGTCTGACATTAGCATGAATCACTGACTTGGGGGCTAGAAAGGCAGCAGGTTGAGGACAGTGAAGGGATGAGGGGATGGAAAATTGTTCAGGGAAAATGGGGAAGGCAGGAGCTCTCTGGTTATGTACTGTCATTCATTCATTCATTCATTTACGATGTCCTTAATTTATTTGAGAGAGAGAGAGCATGGGCAGGGGGAGGAACAAAGGGAGAGGGAGAAACAGGCTCCCCACCGAGCAGAGAGCCTGAAACCAGGACCCTGGATCATCACCTGAGCCACCCAGGCACACCTCACTGTCACATTTTTAGAAGAGTAGTCACCTCCTGACGCTCATTGCCCATTGCCTCCCACACCCTACTCCCTCCAGCTGCCCTGGTCTCCTTTCAGATTCTTGAATTTACCAAGTCGTTCCTGACCCCCAGGCCTTAGCACATGCTGTTCCACCTATTCAGAAATGCTGTTCCTTTGGCCAGTTTCTCACCCTTTAATGCTCAGCCTGAATCTCCTTTCTTGACAGACTCTATGTCTGATCTCCCTGTCTGCATATGTTCACCAGCACCTTGCATTTCTCCACTAAAGCATGTACCAAAAGTACAAATCAGTCAATTTTTAAAATGCTGCTTTTGTTCCTCTTCCCTAGCTAGACTCAAAGCTCCATGAAGACAGTGACTCTTACGGTGTTTTTTTGTTTGTTTTTATTTATTTGTTTTTGCCAGATCTTCTGCCCTAGCACAGAACCTGGCCCATGGCAGGCACCCGGTACGAAGTGGATCAGGGTATGAACGAGGAAAAATTAAAATTATCATTTAAGGGATTAAGGGCAAAGCCTGCTGGAGGGACAATGGCAGTTCATTTTCCAGACCACAGCTTGAGAGATGCAAGTTAAAAGAAGGAGGAGCTACCTGAGGGTTAGGAAAGTCGGCAGAGATCTATCCGGGAAGTCTTTAAAATATGCCTGCAATGTCTAGATATCTGAGAAACAGGTGCTGAACTTCTGATGTCTAGTTTGGAAGGTCCTTTCTCACTGGAAATACCGGGACAACCTTAAACTCTGTGCAAATCTCTACCCTTAAAATTTAAAAACAAATCTGAAAATCCAGACCATCAGAAGACTTTCTAAAAAAACCTCCCCAAATTTCACCTACTCTGGTCTAATTCTATCCCCTTGGACAACCATATCTCCCATCCTCTAAGTCCTTCCATTTGGAGAAAGTTGTTTCTCTATTATGATGCGAGACAGACAAATGAATTTCTTTGTATCATACAATTTAGTGCCAGGACATGAAGAGACCAAAACCACAGCTCTGAGACGTGTCTGAATCCCCTTAGGAGCTGGGGGAAGCCAAGCCCGAGCGTTCAGCCTCCCCCCATTCTGAGCAGATATAGGGGATGTGACACACAAATCATCTCAAGGCAGCTGGGTTTTCCACCAGATTCCCCGTGTTGTCATGCACGGGGCCGTAGTTAACAGCTTCCAGACCACAGATGGAGCATGGGTCAGGTTAGAAACCCACGTTCCCCACCGTGGGTCTGCCTGATCTCCCTGCCTGCGACCTCCCACCTCCCAGTCCTTTTCTGCACACCACCAGTGACTCTTCAAAACTCAAATCTGATCATGTCACCGCTTTGCTCCTTCTGCGGCTCTCAGTCACACCCAGGTCCGAGGCCAAAATTCCTTTGTCTTGTATGTGAATGAATGAGAAATAAACCTCTCTGTGTTAAGGTCATGTCACAGCTACTATCATAATTTAGTTTGGCAGCTTACTCACCTGCACTGTTCGTCAGTTTTAGCCTCTCCTGAGGGGGGCGGGGGGTGGTCATAACAGGGTTGCTGAGGATTAAATGAGCTCATACCCATGAAGCATTCAGCACAGAGCTAGTAACAGTAGGCCCCCGATATATGTTTACTCTGATTGTTGTTACTATTATCATCATCTGCCCTCCTCTGAACCAGTGCTACTGTTCTTTGAGAAAGAGAGAGAAGCAAGGGCCCACCAGGTACTGACTAGGGCCCACACCTTACCTTTTCACTTCCTGCACATAGTCTGCATTCCTGTCAAAGAGGTGGGTCATGGAGTCTTTGATTGCTTCATGCTTGAAAGTAGAAGCTGTTCCAAAGACAGTCACATTGGGGATAGTGGAACACAGCTGAGCCACAGCTTGGCCCTGGAAGTGAAATACAATAGACAAGTCACACAGGAGAGTTACCATCCAAGAGCCCGTCTTGCTGGATTAGAGCAGGATTTCTCAACCTGGACCACTGACATTTTGTAGGCTGGATCAGTGTTTGTCGTGGGGGCTCAAGTGGGCATTGTGAGACGTTTAGCAGCAACTCTAGCCTCCGACATGCTAGGTGCAAGTAGCGCCCCTCAGTTTGTCTCCAGACATTTCAGAAAGTCCCCTGGGGGACAGTGTCTCCCTTGGTTGATAACTACAGCAAAACCCCAATACCAAGACTTAACAACCATTATTTTACTGCACTGAATCTCGGGTTCCTCATCTAATTAACAATAGTGGTACATACTCCATAGGATCTTGGGGAGATGTCTTAGCAGGGATCCCCCAGAAGCAGACCCTGCGGCAGGGATTTGAGAGTCAGTACTTGATCTGGAGTATGACCACAGGAAATACTGGGGTATCGAGACAGAAACAGAAGGCAGCCAGTAAAGGGTGTGCTATTGAGTCAGCACCCACCCTGGGTAAATGGAACTCAGTCTCTCTGAGGCGTTCCCTGATCAGGTACAGAATATACCTCGGAGTTATCCCCAAACACAAGGTGAGCAGGCTGGACTATTTATTCCCGAAATTTCCATCTGCCATCAGTCAGGAGTTGCTCCTGCAGCAGTAACTCCCAGGTACGTCTGGCTTGTTCTCACGAACCAAGCACGCTCCCACAGCTAGACAGAAGCCCGAAGCACGCAACCTGTGGCAGTGTCGTATGCAGAGAAGCTACGGTGACAGCATCCAATCCGGGGCACATTAAACAAGACCATGAATAACACAGGCCAAACGCTGGCCCAAAACACGACACTTAATATAAGTTACTCAATAAATCTTAACCCTCTGGTCCCTTTCATGGCTGAGACATTCAGGCATACAAAGAAAAGGCATATGCATAAGGTTTAAATGTTGAATGGTCTAAGAGAAATTACAGACATCGTTAGGAGTGGGTGATTTTTCCACATCCTTTTTCAGTATGGTCAGAATTGTAAGTCATTGGACAAAATACGGTGATCATGTGAGTCCAGAAACCTTCCAGCAAAAATCCAGTTTGCTGCTAATGAAGGTGCATTCTAAAACCAAGTTTTCTTTCCAGTCTTCTGTCTCCCATCTTAAGGAGGCAGGGATTATTCTACCAAAGGCACCTGGGATATTAACTTCTGCCTATCACTTCATGATGTGTCTTCATGTTGGTGGACTAAATCAGGTTGGCAGGTCTATTTTTGGAAATGTTATTCTTCCTAACGCTGGCAATGAACGGCAACATTGACTGAATCCTAGAATGTCAGACTTAGAAGATCATCCAATTACCCCTTCCCCATCATTGTTCCACAGATGAGGGAAAGGTGACTCAGAAAGGTTAAGCGGACCCAATTCTTCAGAGGCAGATCGCAATTGGAAGCAAGGTCTCCTAACTTCTGGATCTTGCCATTTTCTGTAATGCCATGCTGTCTACTTATTTTGACATTTTAAGCTAAGCAGACTTCCTTTGAAGCTGCTGCCTAAAATAGACATTTTACTGACTTGGGGGGGTCAGCATTTCAGAACATGGGCATGAACTTAAGACTCCTGTCAGGCTATCATTCTCTCTTCTAAGAATACCTTTGACATTTGGTTAATTTTTTTTTAATCACTTGATTTTAGAGAACAAAGAGGGGACTATCCTTCTTGGTGAGTGGAAATATCAGCATTCCATGTTGCAGTCCTCTAAAATTTAGCAGGGCTTGAGCTAACCTCATCTGTGCTGGGATGGGAGATTAGAAATAGTTCCAGGATCTGTGTGGTCCTTCCAGCCCACTGTCCGTAGGCCACCATGACATTTATCTACTCAACTACTTTTTCAAATTCCTATTATGTACTGGTCAAACTATGCTATGGACGGATGCAGGAGGGCCAGAAATGACTGACACACCTCACTGTCTATTCTCTGGCCCCAAGTCCCCCACCAAGTCTTAGATTTGTGTATTGAATGACCACTTGGTGCCGGTCTCCACCTAGCTGTCCAAAAACAACACATCACAGTCAACTCATCTAAAACATAACTCTTAGCTCTCTCCATATGAGTTACTCCTATTGCTTTGCTGGGGCTGTTTTAACAAAATACCACAGACTGGGGGACTTAAACAACAGAAGTTTTTCACCATTCTGGAGGCTAAAAGTCCAAAACCAAGGTGTTGGCAGGGTTGCTTCCTTCCAGTGGCTGTGAGGGAGGGGTCTGGCCCAGGCCTCTCTCCTTGGTTTGTAAATGGCTGTCTTCTCCTTAGGCCTTTTCACATGGTCCTCCCTCTACCACCACTGATTGCCATTCACCATGATCCCGGTGCTGTGCAACCCTCATTCCATGGTGTCCAACCTATGTCCAAATTTCCCCTTCTTACAAGGACTCCAGTCACAGCGGATTAGGACCTACCCTCATTTCAAACTTGACTACCTCTATAAAGTCCCTACCACCAGATGAAGGCACCTTCTGAGATACTGGAGGTTAGGACTTCAACATACGGTTTTGCGGGGGGGTGCGATTCAACCCATAACGTTCCTCTTTCTGCATCTCCTGCCTCAGTGGCTGAAACTTGTACCGTTTACGTATCGCTAGGCTAAAGTCAGGAAGCCGGGGTCACCTGGCTCTTCCTCTTCAGCCCCATATCCGGTTAGTGCCTTGTTTCTACTCACGTCTCTGTGACTATTACTTGTTCATCTGGGTTGTTGAACTTCCTTGCCTGGACGACGACGACGCACTTGTGGACACCTGGCTGTCCCTTGTGTCCTTGGCACCATGGGCAGCGTGATTTTTCTCAAACACAACACTGAGCACCTCACTATTTGTCTCAAAACTTCCCAGTGCCTGCCATGGCTTGCAGAGTGAAAAGCACACCCTTAAGTTTATCGCAGGCTGGGCTTCTGGGATCTGCCCCCATCTGCCTCAGAACATGCTAGAACATGCTGTCCCTCCACTTTTCCAGCATCCGCTCCCTAACAGAACAAGGCACTTGATCCACCGTGGATTGAAATTTGCCACGATCCCTCATTCCATGGTGTTCTCAGAACGATACTTTCACCTGACTTTGCTGAAGAGGAGACTGGGTTTACACACCTGCTCCAAGGCCACTAGGGTAAGATGGCAGACCTTGATCTGCTGTACTCGCCAGCTGAGCAAGCTCGAGTAACCTTTCGGTTCTTCTGGTCATGCATCTCGATATGCAAAGTGTAAGGCTCTCTGTGCTCTAAGGTTTCGGTGGGCCTGTTTGACATAACGCATCCAAGGGCTTAGCCTCACAACAGTGAACGCTCCGTACTTGCCATCACTGTCCTAGGAATACCATTATTATTTTTCTTGCTTTTATGTCAGCAGTACCTGACAGTATGTCAGCAAATCTACCATCCTGATCTCTTGAACGTATCACACTATTTTAACATGGACACTAGGTCCTCACATGCTGTCCCCTACCTGTCATGCCTGTCCTTCCACTTCCATCTTCAGAGCATGGCCACTCCCCCTTAGGCAACTCCTCTTCCAGAAATCCTTCCCAGGCAGGGTCGCTTGCCTCTTTTTGTGCCACCATAGACTGGTGGTTCCTTCCTCCAGGACATCGGCCACCAATGCCTTCTGGAAGGGGGCTGCTGAGTGACCCATCTGTGAGCCCCGTGAGGCCAGGGACCATGCCATATCTGGGTCTGTACCTCAGTGCCCAGGGCAGAGCCTGGCATCTGACAGGTGTTTGGTAACGCTTATCCAATGGATGCATGAGAAACTACAGGAATGTGATGTAATGCGGGAACCCCCATCACTTCGCAGATTGCCATTCCTTTAGCCTTGCACAGTAGGTGTAAAGCACAGGTTCAGTTAATGTATAGCATCTGACCTGAGCAGAACTTTACCGTTTCCATTTTTAAGGAAAAGATAGGTGTGGTAGCACAATGAGACCATATAAGTAACTGGATTACTTATGTATTTATACAATTATATAACATAATATGTGAATATTTTATATAATATAAAATACAGAAATAAATACATAATATCATGTATAATTAGAATAATATGAGTATTATGTGTATATATGTATAATCAGTATTATATGCATACATATATAATATCTATTATAATATTCTACTTGTAATATATAATTAGTGTAATAGTACATCATCACATACAATATATAATTAGCATAATATACAAGTATTATATATAATATTATATCATAATTTGAATTATGATATAAATCATCCTGGGGAGAAAAGCAAGTTCAGCGGACATCTGTTTGTAGCACCCCCGCTTTGAGCTCTCTCTTAACGCACTAAGGCAACGAGAGGCCCTTGCAAGATCCTCGGTGATCTAAAGTAAATAATACTCAGCATTCTGTAGGGAAGCAGGATGTGTGCATTCCCTCACATTTACAGAAAATCTGTACTCTCCCTTTTCCAAGTCCCAAGGTGAGTGCTGGATTAGCATCTAATTTATCCTTGTTTCTCCCACGTGCCTAGAAAACAGCATGGACTCGATAAACATTTGTGGAAGACGGAATGAATTTTCAATAAAAAGGATTTTGCAATTTACCTACAGACCCAGAACATAAAATGAACAAGACAATCCATTCTCCCAGCAACAGCAGCAAATGGAGCTTTGCACATACTTGTTTTTAATTGATTTTCCTGTCCCTCTTTAGAATGTAAGAATTCTGCAGCGAGCATTTGCCTTCCTTGCCTGTGGCTAGCAAGTACAGCAGCTGCTGTTCCCTTTGCCTCACTGTAGGCCAGATACTGTGCTTAAGGGCTCCGTTCAATCCCCAAACCACGTTTAGAGTAAATGCTTTTATTTCCTGTTTATACCTGAACATAGGAATTCAGACGGGGAAAGGAACTTGTCCAGGGTAATCTGGCTTGTAAGTAATAAGGCCCGGGGGTCAAACTCAGGTCTCCCTGACCCCAGAGCCACTCTGCCATTAGTC